TTTTTTTTGTGTGATCACATATTTTTAACTTTATTTATTTTTTTCTTAAAAATTGTTCAATTGGTACGCTCTCGTCAATAAAAATATTATGAAATGTGCTGTAAAAGTTCAATTCAAATAAAATTTTCAACCAAAAAGCTTAAACTTATAGATATTGAAATTAAATTATAAAAACCTGAAATCTAACTTTTATAAAAAAAAAATAATAATAAATAAAAAAATAAAAAAAAAATTTGAGGGTGATAGGATTCTAAGTTTTTAAAAACTTGACGGTACACATATCGATATTTATATTTATAGTAAATACATTTTATATGAAATGAGCGTTTTGACTTAAACTACAAGCTCGTTATTTAACATTTAAAATCGAACCCCCCCTAAGTAAAATTCCTGGATCCGGCCTTACCCAATGTATAAATCATATTGTTCATCATAGATTTACAACTTCCAATCATTATTTTCATATAACATTATAATCAAATATTCTATCATATTATTTTAAATTAATAAAATTATTAATTATTTTAATAAATCTTATTTCTACTAGTTTTTCACAAATCAAAATATATCCAAATTCACCCTTTTAACTTTCCTGCCAATGAATAAACAATCTTATATTTATATATTTCCCACAACGATTTGAAATTGGTCTCAGTTTCGTACACTTTCAAACCCTGAGAATTATTGTTTTTCTCTCGCTCGCCCTCACGAGATACGCTCTGATAAGTGAGGTCCACAAATACTGAGAAAAGAGTCAGGACCTCAACAATGTCTGCTGCAAAAGCAAGCGTGAAGCGAGTTTCGGAGTCAGAGAACATAAAGTCCAACCGGCGGAGGCAAACCGTCGTTGATGATGATTTTGACGCCGCCATCTCCAAGTCAGATTTATGTGCCAATTTCTCTTCGATTGCCAACTTAGTACATTTCTGCTTCTGTATATGTGTCTCTTTTCATAGTATAAATCATGGAACTCCGATCTAAATGCAGCGATATTAAAGGCATAATGAGCGCTCTTCAGCAGATCAAGGAGAAGGCGCAGATGGATGGCCAGAAGAAGAACGAGGAGAAGATATCCAGGTGAAAATCTCTTCATATTCCTCAAATGGAACACCGATCTGTGTAGCTCACACAGTATGTGTTTCTAGTTTCGTTCTCAGAATCTATTTTAATGTTGGCTCGGATAGAAGTTTAGGTTTATTCATAATGTAGAGAACGCGTTTGTAGATCTGATTGTTTGGAAATTACACAGTTTGATTGGATTACCTTCTAAAGTATGTGGAATTGACAGGGTTATACTTTTGGCCAGTTCTAAACTCATGTAAAATGATTTGATTTACATTTTGATTAATCTCCACGTAAAATCATCATTGATTCATTTGAAGCTAAAACATGATAACATGTTATCCTATCATTTTATTCATGTGTTGCAGCTATTGCGTGCTGAAAACAAATTAGGCTAGAATTCTATTTTTATTTGATTGCTAGTTATTTATGTAGCGGTCCTGGCCCCAAAGTTTGTGTTTGACGTTGATTGAATCATGCATTCTGTTTTTTTCCATGATAAATTGAGTGTATTTAGGAAAAGTTGTCAATAAGAGAACAGATAGCCAATAGGCAGATTGGAAATTCAGCCTCCTGAATGCTCGTTGTTGTTCTATTTTCTTCATAGTGTTGAATAATGCAACAGTGTTAGAGAATTTTGATATAGGGGCAGAAATAAGTTAACCATAGAAAAATGACTTCTGATACTGTTATGCAGTTTCCATAAATGTGGAATGTGCTGTTATAATGTTTGTGAGATAAGTCATATAGGTTGGTTAATAGTGTTCATTTGTTGGCAGTGTGGCCTCAGAGATGAAAGCAAGATTGGATGAGCTGAAATCAAAACTTGAGAAAGAAAGGTGAGATGGCATTACTTTTCAAGTTACAGTCATTATACTTGCCTGATTATTATTATGGCTCGGATGTGCATTTTATAAACATGTTTCTTGACGATAATTGACAGGCAGAGCTTTGCCAAGGGACTGTTAAAGAGCTCTAAAGAGGTCCTCTCATAGATTCAATGAACATGAACTGGTTTGCTTCAGTAATATTATATAGCTTTGCTGCTTAAGGTTGTCTTAGTTGTATTTGCCCGTGTAGTGTGAAAATGTACTGAAGAGTGAGACTGCCAAGTTTCAAGAACTTTTTGAGAGGTTCTCCAAGGAGAAATCCACACACTTGCAGGCCTTAAAAGGTAATCATGCCATACCCTCTTATCATTTGTATGATCTTTGATTAGCTCTTTTATTTTGGGCAGCGCCATGATTTGAAATTATTTGACTTATTTGGTCACAGCTTTAATTACTCTGTCCAAAAACATTATCTAGAGTGCAGATATCAGAAAATTGGAAAACTGCATGTGGGGGAAGTTATAGTCAGAAAGAAATGCTGTACTTGCTTACTTTCAATTAAGTAGTCTATAAATTAAAAGAAAGAAATTTCATGAGCTTAAGAGAGAATATTTCCATCTTCCAAAACTTTGGTGGCTCTTTACATCAAATTGTACAAGGATAAGAAACCAGGATGTCTTCAAATTTTTCTGCGGGTTTGAAGGTTTTGCTTCATCCTCGTTACCCAATTTATTTTCCTGTGGTGTCTTGATATACTTATCTATCTGACACCTGAGTTATGCCATCTCTTATATTTGTTCCTACAAGAATGTAAATGTATTGTTTATATATTGAGGAAGTATAGTTTTGAATTTGCTGTGCTGTGTCGGCTCTAAAATAGAGTTCATTCTTTGAGAACATTGGTTCTGGGCCCTTAGCATTATCTGATATTGTATCTTACTTGCATTATCAGTTATCTTACTTGGGTTATGAGTTATGACAGATACTGTTGCCAAATACGAAGAAGAGAAGGAGATGCTATTTGCACGCTATGAAAAACTACGTGAGCAAGAGGGTTTCTTTTCTTTTATTCCTACTCGGCAAATGGACACAGCATAAGAATAATTCTGAAAAATGTGCTTTCAGGGAAGAAAGAGAAGAGCATGCTATCTGAACATGAGAAAGCTACTGCTGAAAAGATAGCTCAATTGGAGGAATCCCTCAAGAAGAAAAAACAGGTGAAGTAAATCTTCTTGCTTTCTGCCATGTTCTTATATCGAGACATTAGTTGTAATTGTGCACTTTCCTGTAAGCAGGATGACAAAACCTTCAGCATTTTGAGGAAGAGCCTTGGATCTTTCCTTGGAAACGCTTCAGATGAGGATTTTCCCCTTGATGAGTGATATATTTTCCAAGTGGTCAGTCAGCTTACTAGCTATTTTTTTTTCTTCTTTTTATGTCAATGAAAACAATGCTTAAAAGCACCATATCTCCCCTAGTAAAATTCTCAATGTGGAGCATTTGTAGTTAAACTGTGAATCCTTTCTTGTGCGTTTACTCTCATCAAACTTGTTAGTTCACTTAAACCCCGGAACTTCCAAAATTCTATCGAGTTTACTTTCGCTGTTTGTAAACTAAATTTTGGCACTGTATAAAGTGGTTCGAGTTAGTGTTTGTAGTCATTGCCTCTGCCTGCTGCACTTCTCGCCTGTAATTTGCTGTGCTTGTTGATGTCATGATGAGATTTGGGGGATAAAGTAGTATGTGGTATATGCTATAGCATCCTTATTCTGCTCTGGCCATTATTAATTCTCGGATTACCACTGAAAATGTACTATTTCTGTTCCGCAATAATTTTATCATATCACAGCAAATTTTCAGTTTACTAGTTGTCCAAGTTAGGCTAAACTGAAATTAGTATGAATTTTATTTTTGTAACATTGATAGTTAGTAGTGCATAACAAAATATTCAGACAATAGCTGGGGCTGAGGTTTAAATTTGGAACCTGCGTTGCAAATGCAACACTACAAAATTAAATTAAAAAAATAATAGAAAATGTAACTCATTTTTTACAAATGTGGTACAAACATCAGATTCAAAGTCATACCATGAAGCCACAACCCATCAATTGCGTGAATGATGATAATCTCACATTGAATAGATATCTCCATTTGTTTGCCAAATATGTAACCTAAAATTTGATCCAACCACATTTGGAATTTTTTCAATAGAATACTGAAATTTAAAATAACATATGTATAAGTAAAATATATTTATTATTGTAAGGTTTATGTGTAATAAATTTCCCTTATTATTTTTTTTTAAAATTTTGATTGTACTTAATATATATTTATTATGATATATAATAAATATGTCATTGTAAAACACAATGAGTAAAGTTTTTAGTAAATATAAATTAAATTGATATAGAAATTATAGTAAATAAATAGGATTTATTTATTTATTTAAAAATAAAAAAAATTAAGTGGACAAAAACCAAAAAATTAAAAATATGTGGACAAAAATCAAAACTACGTATTTTGAGAATACGTTTTTACATAAAAAAACCTATTTTCAAAATACGTTTTATAGTGTAAAATGTATTCCGACAATACGTTTTAGTGTAAAATGTATTCACGTAATACGTTTTAAAAGAAATTAATAAATAAAACGTATTTTGGTTATACGTTTTACAAATAATTAAAAACTAAACAAATAATTAAAAACTAAAACGTATTATTCAAATACGTTTTATAAATAATATGTTTTGATAATATGTTTTTATAAAACGTATTTTGATAATAAATAATATGGTTTTATAAACAATATGTTATTATTTATAAAACGTTTTATAAATAATATGTTTTTATAAAACGTATTTGAATAATATGTTTTATAAATAATTAAGAAATAAAACGTATTTGAATAATACGTTTTATATTTTAAAATTAATGTAAAAAAATTAATATATAGTATGTGTTTTGCGTTTTGGGCTCGTTTGGGCTCGTCTGAACTCGGAATTGAGTTCCGTTTTTTCCTATACGTAGCTAACGAACCCCTCTATCCAATGATGCTTGCATGGCCAAATTATTCTTGAAATCATATTCTCCCAAAGATCTTGACCGATACATTAAACGTGTTTCGCGCGACTTTGCTTTTTGGGCCCGTTCAGACTCGTCCAAGCTCGAAATTCATTACCGCTTCTTCCTATATGTCGCCAACGAACCCATCTACACAACCATGATTGCCCGGTAAATTTTCGGGCTAAATCTATTCCTCACGGGCTAAATAATTAACAAATCACTCATTATATAAATAGATGGTCCACGGAAGATTTGTTAATAGGTGATTTGTTAATTATTTAGCCCCGTGAGGAATAGATTTAATCCGAAAATTGATCGGGAAATCATTGTTGTGTAGATGGGTTCGTTGGCGACATATAGGAAGAAGCGAAAATTAATTTCGAGCTTGGACGAGTCCTAACGGACCCGGAAAGCAAAGTCGCGCGAAACACGTTTAATGTGTAGGTCAAGAGCTTTGGGAGAATATGATTTCAAGAATAATTTGGTCATGCATGCATCATTGAATAGAGAGGTTCGTTAGCTACGTATAGGAAAAAACAGAACTCAATTCGAACGGGCGTTGTTGTCGTTCGTGGTTACGACGTCTTCTACCTCCACCAATGTTGGCAGGGGGTTGATGTCTCGCCCTCTGTGACTGTGTTTTCTGGGATGAGACGTAGTCCTCCTCGGATAGAACTTGGCTGAACGACGCTCCTAGTGTGACCTCTTGGCCTCCAACAGTCAGAAAACTATAGGCAATTTTCGTATCAGTCTATTCCTCATGGGCTAAATAATTAACAAATCACTCATTATATAAATAGATGGTACATAGAGGATTTGTTAATATATTATCAAAATACGTTTTATTTATTATCAAAATACGTTTTATTTATTAATTTATACACTTTTTTAATTATTTATTAAATATATTATCAAAATACGTTTTATTTATTAATTTTTTTATAAAACGTATTATTGAAATACATTTTTCAATTATTTAAAAAAAATATATTTTAAAAATATAATTTTAAAACGTATTACTATAATACGTTTTTTAAAAAAAAATTAATTAAAAAAACGTATTATGAAAATACGTGCTTTTTATTTTTGTCCATAATTTTTTTTTCTTTTTATTTTTGTCCAATTATTTTTTTTTTTATTTTTATATATATAAACTACCCAAATAAATAGGAAACATGCGAGGCCCATTAAGAGAAGGATTGTGAGATTTATGATTATTGGAGAATTTGTGATATTGATAGTAAGAATAAAGTCTGAATGATGTGAAATATTCAGAATGTAAAAAGAAGGTTTACAAACTTTGTATGGCTAAAGTTTCTTAACTGAAAATGAGTTTATTGAATTGGAAAAAATTCTCGTGCTCATCTTAAATTGAAACATGGTGTAAAACTATTGAGTTTAAATAATAATAATAATAATAATAATAATAATAATAATAATAATAATAATAAATAATTTTTTCAAGAAAAATAATATTAACGAGGCAGATAGATAATAAATAATTGCATTATTATCCAAAGAAAAGCGTTATCCTCATATCCTAATATTCTACACAACATTCTGCAAAATAATCCTAATCTATTACTATATAATATGGAGAAGAAAAACTATTTGAAAAACTTTGAAAAAATGTATTCATTTCCCGCTTCTATTTACCATTTTCCCGCTTCTTTAATTTCGTTTTTCAGCAATTTTTTTGAAATTTTTTGCATGTCCCGCTGTTGCAATTTTTTGTTGCAATAAATCGGATAGTGTATATCTTATGTTCTGATTTACCTGATTTTCATTCGTATTTGAATAATCTTTTCCTTAAATTTGGATGAGATTTACGTGCCAAACACATGGTTCCTATTATCATGGGAAGTATTCCATATTCAATATATCAGTGTTTTGGACTTATCTGTAATCCCATTTCAGTCCAATTTAAACGTGAATGGCGATCTGTTGTAATCGTATATATTCTACCGAATATACCATTTCGCACATTTAAATGTATTTTTTTGTTTTTTTAAATAATCATTGCAATCGTGCCTAACAAGAATCTACCGACTTTGTTAATTTGCATATTTAAATGAAACTTTTTTGTTCTTTCAAAAAATCATTGTAATCGTGGTATTGGAACAATTATATATATAATTAAACATTTATACATTTGTTTGAAAAAACAAAATCACAAAAAATATAATAGATGATACATCTCACACACAAATAAAAAAAGAAATACAACATTGGGAAAAATTGGAATACAAGAACTAAAATATACGATTTAAAAAAATACAGTAAAGCATCAAATATACGATTTACAGAATTTGAGTTTTATTAAATATACCAATCGATATAACAATTCTGAAACTAAATGATTCTGTTTAGTATTTATCCAAATGTTGTATGCGGTAAGTATCACACCAAATCATAAAATATCTAAACTGAATTGCATTCGTTCGTGTAAACAATAATACTAACCTAAACAAGAAAAACTAAAATATCGTAAACTCAAAATTAAAATTAAATTTGACACATCTTTATACAGATAAAGATTATATCAAACATGGAATAATATTTAGTTTTTCTAATAGGCGATATCCATAAACCTATATTACTAAAATCTAATAGAATCCTATATATATACAATTTATTTATCGGTTGAGTTGCCATTGCAGAGAAAAAATTGGAGTACGACTTTCTCCTAAACTATAGCAATTAAGAAACAAATAATATCACAACATAAAAAAAAAATAAATAAAAAATAAAAATTAATCCAAAAGAATCCAACTTTATTTAAACTACTCCTAACATTTGTGACAAACGTGACCTAAAATATAGCAATAAGGTAACTAATAATATCAAAACTTAAAAAAAAAAAGAATCCAAAAGAATCCATCTTTATTTGAACTACTCATACCTTTCCTATTCACGCGTGTCCTAAATTATAGCAATTACGAAACAAACATATTATTATTTATCTTTCCTAATAAATAGAATCCTAACCTATATGAAATTCATCTCCATTCCACAACACGCTCATAAGATATCAATCTTTTCCACTAAAAACTTCTAAACCTTTTGACTAGCCCGCGTATTGTGTTTGGTTCATCATCTTCTACACCATTACCAGCATATGAAATGAAATTCTTTTTTTTTTTATTCACTATAACAGTTCTTAGAAAACCTCAATTGCTGTAAAATAGAAAAGGCAAGCATCTAGTGTTTTTAGATAAACATTCTGTTGCGATTTTTCATTCGTAGCTATAGTTCTGTAGCAAGCATCATGGATCAAAATAGTGTAGGCAAACCAAACAATCATGGTGTCAATGGTGGCAGAGCAAGTCAATCACAAGGCAGAGATATACAAACAGATAGCCCAAAAGAACACGGTATGTTTTAATTGTAAGACATGTGAACTTATATATGAATCTATGTGACTAATTTTTTTTATTATTATTATTAAAAGATTTACCTTTGATGTTTTTGTTTACCTGATCAACATATGGTACACATTCCTTGGTAGTTCCCATCGAAACATCATACTCGCAAGAGAAGAAATAAAATTAAATCAGAAGAGATGTAGAGGAAAGAGCATGATACAACTTTAATCTAAGTTTTTTGTCTGAAATCAAATTGTATTTATGCAGAATATTATGTGTTTATTTCAGCCTGTATTTTCTACTACTATGTAACATATGTTGTAAAAATTGGATAGTAACTTTACCTTTTTATTGTTCATTCTTTGAGTAAGTTCATCTCAACCTTTTAGTAAATTTGATGTACTTGTCAAATCTGTGGTAGGACAGCCACTGTGCCATAGACACATGAGTAGTTGTTTCGACTTGAACTTCAGGCTCCATTTCATGCTCATGCAACAAAATCAACAACATATAAGATTGATTATATGGAATTCGTACATATTTTATGTATCGCAAATGAAATTTGTATGAACATCTTTCAACAGTTTGTATACTAAAGATTTCAGTTTTATATCATAAAGCTTAATATTTGATCTAAATTCAGAGAGTAGATTGCTAGAACGTGGACAGTGCACCAAGATAAATAAAAATCCCGGAAGATGTCAACCAATCAGCAAGCAGAGTAAGACACACATACGAATAGGGACTGTTGAATCAGATTCACAAGGTAATATTCAAAGTTAGTGACATAAACTTCGACAAACACTAAAATGTAATCATTTTAGTATTGTATGCACATGATTTGAATATTATTTAAAATGTCTTCAGAAAGCATGTGATATGTAATAGATACTATGTATGAATATGTTACTGTTCTTAAACTCATAATGTCTTCATACTCTGTCTTTATTTGAATATGTTATAATATATTACATTTACCGTCAATTATAGTTCTTATAACAATAGATCAAATATTTTCAATCGGGAAAACAGAAATTTCAAAACAATTACAGGTGCATGTGCAAGCAATAATGTTAGAAACAATTAAATTATTAAAAATTCAAAATATATGATACCTGCTCTTATTTGTGTAAGGCTGACCATATCAATCACCGATCTGTACGCTCACTTGAAGAAATCGGTGGTCAAAGTTTTAAAAAGGTCAATTTTAAAACAAAGACGACAGAAATCTTAAGTTCATTTCCTAACTGGTATACATGAATCCGATCAGACAACATACAAATCAAATTATTTTTCTCATACAAATCAACAAAATTTATTTTCTAATACAAAATTTTGTTGATCGTCAAAAAAATAATAAAAAAAATAAATCTAAAACACGAGACCGATAAAAAATAATAAAATAAATTTTGTGATAAAATCTTCATTATCTTTCAAAGGACGGATGATATATGTTCAATCAACATTGAAATTACCTAATAACAATGTTAAATATTAAGATCTATGAAAAAAAAAATTAAATCTGAATACGAGAAAAAAACAAAAAACAGATCTATGATAAATTTCATAGATTAAGCTAAGATCCGCACGAACAACAAATGATTAACATATTTTGTGATCGTTTTTCATATATCAAACGAAGAAAATGAAATAACTCGGCCCAGAAGCTACGATTTTCTATAAAAACAAAAATTAGGTAAAGAACACACAAAAAAATTCAAGATCCAAACGAAAAAGCCCGGATTCACCGAGTTTTATAATCGATTTTTTAGAAAATACAAACAAAATTTGAGGATAAAAGAAAAAAACACACGCGTTTTATATAACATATGTAGTTGTGAATCTAAGATCTAAGAGACACATGAAAAAACAAGCGATTCAAAGTGTTTCGATAGATTTTTTTCTGATGAAAACCGAAACAAATGAAAGAGAAGCGGTGGAAATGATCGTAAAACAAAAATGAAGCGGTGGAAATGAGGAAACCCTACTTTCTCGGGTTTCTTCGCTTTTTATACTCTATGGCAGCGAATATTAACCATCCGATCGTGTTGACCAATGTGCGCCGTTGGATCTTCATGCTACATCTGTTCTGGGCCTGTTCTTACTTCTTGTGGGCCGATTTTTTGGACCTGCTGTAACTTCTTGTGGGACTATTTTCTTGGGTCTTTAATGCCTACGTTTGGGCCGATATTTTTGGGTCTTTTTTACCTTATTGTGGGCTGAGTTAACAACACAAAAATTATTAATGTCTTATAAAATTATGCACATACCAAAACATAAAAGTACTAACAATTATTCAACAATTTTTTAAATTATTAATATGTTTAATAATTATTAAATAATTTTTTAAATTATTAATATATCCTTTGTATTTACTTTGGCAGGTTATATCAGATCACCCGTTGTCAAAGGATCATCTTTCATTGCACTACGGAAAAATAATCAATCCAATAATTCTTCCTACCAATATCATAGTGCGTTGCACGGTTCTCAAATGATACTCCTTCCGATGTAGAATACTTACGGGAGACCATGCAGGGGATAAAGTGTTGATACCTCGAATGACGATAACTCCTTTCGATGCAAGAGTAACTTTTAAGTTTCAACGAAGGCAATTCCCTATCGTGGTCTCTTATGCAATGACTATTAACAAGAGTCAGGGTCAATCCTTATCTCACGTTGGTTTATTCTTGAAGAAACCAGTTTTCAGTCATGGCCAGTTATATGTTGCTGTTTCGCGCGTCACCAACAGAAGGGGTCTGAAAATTCTAATATGTGGTGAACATGATTTACCCCCAAATCAAACAAATAATGTTGTGTACATACAAGTTTTTAATAATATATGATTTCTTTTTATTTTTATTTTTGTTTCCATAATTAAATGTAAAATTTAATTAATTATATTTAAAATAAGTACTTCAATATATTTTAAATTATGCGCCCACCGTGCATCGCACGGGTACATACTAGTATCCAAAGAAAAGCAATATCCTCATACAACCACCAGATGAATGGACTGTGTTGCTATGCCTTGATATTTTCACAATAATCCCCCCAAAATATCTCCCAACCCATCAGCATATGGGTTTTAGCTCAAGCAAGCTTCAGACACTTCACGTGCTGGTGCCTTAGCACAAAACTACAAACAGGGAATCGTCCACAATGAGTAGTAGTAGCACTCTTGTGTTCAATCCCTTCCTCTCCAATTCCGCCATTAAAGAATCACGAAAACCTCCCAAATTCGTTGCCCTCTCAGCCTCGTCTGTCCGATTTCTGTGTTCGTCTTCGGCTCCAGATCATTGGGTAGCAACTGGTACTCATATTCATTTGAAATTCTTGATTTAGTTACTTTATTGTATTGTGTTTGTTGAAAACTGATAGGAAATGTTTGAGAATCGGATCGGTGCTCTCTCAAAGAATAGGTTTTAGGTTATTGAATATGGTGTGAGCCATAGAGTGGATAAACTGAAGCTTGGGATTTTCTTAAATGTGTTTGTAATGGTCAAAGATTTTTTTTTTTTTTTTTTTTTTTTCCCC